ATAAGGAAAATACGGGTTTGCAGTTGCCTATATGAGTGTGTGTGCCTGCATCCAGTATGTGCGTAACTCTGTGAGTCCATATGTAAGTGTAATCGCAGGCGGGCGAGGTATCCTGGGCAGTTTGACTTGCGGTGCAGTGGATGACTCCTTGAGGCTCAGCTGACTGCTTTCCCCTGGGGAGCCGTGAACTGGCCATCTGCTGCTAAGGCCAAAATAAACAGGTGTCCTCCTCCTCCTCCTCTCTGCCTGCCGGTCTGGCCCTGCACCTTTCAAACTCTGCCCTTGTCTGTTTACAGAAGAAAACACCACTGCCCTGCTCTCCTCTCCTTAACTGGCTTATCTCAGCCTGAAGGGAACTAATGCAACCTGCTCGCCTCACTTGGTTTGATTTAAATCCTTAAAGAAGACGCGTGGGTCTCTTGAAGACGTTGTTACATGTGCTGCTACTTCAGTGGAAATAAACTATTGATTTAATGAATAAAGTACTATTAATTTTGAGGTAGTAACAAAACTATTTACACTGAACACAAATATAAATGCAACATGCCATAATTTCAAAGATTTTACTGAGTTACAGTTCATACAAGGAAATCAGTCAATTGAAATAAATGCATTAGGCCCTACCCTAATTTATGGATTTCACATGACTGGGAATACAGATATGCATCTGTTGGCCACAGATACCTTTAAAAAAAGCTGGTGTGTGGATCAGAAAACCAGTCAGTATCTGGTGTAACCACCATTTGCTTCTTGCAGCGCGACACATTTCCTTCGCATAGAGTTGATCAGGCTGTTGATTGTGGTCTGTGGAATGTTGTCCACGCCTCTTCAATGGCTGTGCAAAGTTGCTGGATATTGGCGGGAACTGGAACACGCTGTCGTACTCAATGGGTGACATGTCTGGTGAGTATGCAGGCCATGGAAGAACGGGGACATTTTCAGCTTCCAGGAATTGTGTACAGATCCTTGCGACATGGGGCCGTACATTATCATGCTGAAACATGAGGTGATGGCAGTGATGAATGGCACGACAATGGGCCTCAGGAGCTTGTGACGGTATCTCTGTGCATTCAAATTGCCATCGATAAAATGCAATTGTGTTCATTGTCCTTAGCTTATGCCTGCCCATACCATAACCCAATCGCCACCATGGGGCACTCTGTTTACAACGTTGACATCAGCAAACCGCTTTCCCACACAACACCATACACACTGTCTGCCATCTGCCCGGTACAGTTGAAACCGGGATTCATCCGTGAAGAGCCCACTTATCCAGCGTGCCAGTGGCCATCGAAGGTGAGCATTTGCCCACTGAAGTCGGTTACAACGCCGAACTGCTGTCAGGTCAAGACCCTGGTGAGGACGACAAGCACGCAGATGAGCTTCCCTGAGACGGTTTCTGACAGTTTGTGCAGAAATTCTTTGATTGTGTAAACCCTTCATCAGCTGTCCTGGTGGCTGGTCTCAGATGATCCCGCAGGTGAAGAAGCCGGATGTGAGGGTCCTGGGCTGGCGTGGTTACACGTGGTCTGCAATTGTGAGGCCGGTTGGACATACTGCCAAATTCTCTAAAACAACGTTGGAGGCAGCTTATGGTAGAGAAATGTACATTCAATTTTCTGGCAACAGCTCTGGTGGACATTCCTGCAGTCAGCATGCCAATTGCACACGCCCTCAAAACTTGAGACATCTGTGGCATTGTGTTGTGTGACAAAACGGCACATTTTAGTGGCCTTTTATTGTCCCCAGCACAAGGTGCACAAGTGTAATGATCATTCTGTTTAATCAGCTTCTTGATATACCACACCTGTCAGTTGGATGGATTATCTTGGCAAATGAGAAATTCTCACTAACAGGGATGTAAACAAATTAGCGCCATTTTTTTTAGAGAAATAAGCTTTTTGTGCGTATGTAAAATTTTGGGGATCTTTTATTTCAGCTCATGAAACATGGGACCAACACTTTACATTTATATTCAGTATACTTGTTTGTAAAGTGCCTGTTATGATGTCATTTCATAGTGTTGTGGGAACCAGGTTAAATTTAGTAGATAAGTGATTCTGGGTGCCGCACAGTCTGAATACCAAGGATTCCATTATGTTGAGGGAGCTTACTGGGGTTTATCTTAGAATGGTTGATGGATATGATAAACTGACTTGGGGTACAAGGTAATAACATCAAAGATGGTTACCAGATGTTGTTGAAGAAACGTGTAACATGACATATATAAACTGAGAGGTTTTCTTTGTCTGGTAGTTTGGATGACAAGAGGCAAAGCACGCGCCTTTTGTTAGACGAACATTTTACATTTTAGTCATTTACAGGAGCAATTAGGGTTAAGTGCCTTGCTTAAGGACACGTCGACAGATTTTTCACCTAGTCGGCTCGGGGATTAGAACCAGCGACCTTTTGGTTACTAGCACAACGCTCTTACCCACTAAGCTACCTGCCGCCTAAGTGTTAAATATCTTCTTGCATCATCAATTACTTGATACCCGAGAAACTCATATATATATATATATATATATATATATATATATATATATAGATATATATATATATATATATATATATATATATATATATATATATATATATATATATATATATATATATATATATATATATATATATATATATATATATATATATATATATACATACAGTGGGGAGAACAAGTATTTGATACACTGCCGATTTTGCAGGTTTTCCTACTTACAAAGCATGTAGAGGTCTGTAATTTTTATCATAGGTACACTTCAACTGTGAGAAACAAAAATCCAGAAAATCACATTGTATGATTTTTAAGTAATTAATTTGCATTTTATTACATGACATAAGTATTTGATCACCTACCAACCAGTAAGAATTCCAGCTCTCACAGACCTGTATGTTTTTCTTTAAGAAGCCCTCCTGTTCTCCACTCATTACCTGTATTAACTGCACCTGTTTGAACTCGTTACCTGTATAAAAGACACCTGTCCACACACTCAATCAAACAGACTCCAACCTCTCCACAATGGCCAAGACCAGAGAGCTGTGTAAGGACATCAGGGATAAAATTGTAGACCTGCACAAGGCTGGGATGGGCTACAGGACAATAGGCAAGCAGCTTGGTGAGAAGGCAACAACTGTTGGCGCAATTATTAGAAAATTGAAGAAGTTCAAGATGATGGTCAATCACCCTCGGTCTGGGGCTCCATGCAAGATCTCACCTCGTGGGGCATCAATGATCATGAGGAAGGTGAGGGATCAGCCCAGAACTACACGGCAGGACCTGGTCAATGACCTGAAGAGAGCTGGGACCACAGTCTCAAAGAAAACCATTAGTAACACACTACGCCGTCATGGATAAAAATCCTGCAGCGAACGCAAGGTTCCACCGCTCAAGCCAGCGCATGTCCAGGACCGTCTGAAGTTTGCAAATGACCATCTGGATCCAGAGGAGGAATGGGAGAAGGTCATGTGGTCTGATGAGACAAAAATTGAGCTTTTTGGTCTAAATTCCACTCGCCGTGTTTGGAGGAAGAAGAAGGATGAGTACAACCCAAAGAACACCATCCCAAAAGTGAAGCATGGAGGTGGAAACATCATTATTTTGGGATGCTTTTCTGCAAAGGGGACAGGACGACTGCACCGTATTGAGGGGAGGATGGATGGGGCCATGTATCGCGAGATCTTGGCCAACAACCTCCTTCCCTCAGTAAGAGCATTGAAGATGGGTCATGGCTGGGTCTTCCAGCATGACAACGACCCGAAACACACAGCCAGGGCAACTAAGGAGAAGCTCCGTAAGAAGCATCTCAAGGTCCTGGAGTGGCCTAGCCAGTCTCCAGACCTGAACCCAATAGAAAATCTAGAGAGAGAGAGACTCCATCCCATCAATGCTGACTGAAATGAAGGACATGCCACGAGAAAGAGATACTAAAAGATGAACAGAGAGTAGGCGGTCAGTGAGTGAAAAAAGACACGTCAGAGGAAGAAGGAGAAAGGAAGGGGACAGAGGGGGATGGCTGGATAAAGGGGATAGCGTTCGTAATCCTATTGACCAAAAGACTGCCTGAACAGAAGCAGTCCCTATGGCCAGGCAGCGACTCCTCTTCAACCCCACGGTGCCACACTTTTTTCAGGCAAAGGGGATTACTCCAGCCTCAGGCTACTGGACCTGCACTGGGAGCCCCAGGCCTCTAAAGGGGAAGAGGTAGTCCAGAAGCCCAGCTGATGCTCTGTCCTTATCTCTGCTCACTACCACACATGCACACTCTCTATTGTGCAAACACACACAGCATGGGGCCCTGTTAGATTCCTCAGTCTTGCTGTCCTCTCCATAGGGGGGAGCATGTGTGAGGGCTGTTAGTATTGTGTTGGGAGGTGTGTGTGTTCCGTGTGTGTTGTGTGTGTTTGTGCACATTGCCCTTAAGTGATCGTGAGGGCAGTAGGCCTAAGGCCAGTCCTTTGTACCTCCTGGGTCCTCTACGACCCCCCCCCACCACCTGCTGTTCATTCAGAGCTGTTGGTTAATAGTGATGGAGTGGATTCCTCCCTTACAAACCCAGAAAAAAGGAGAAAAGACTTCACTGAGATACTATGGCCTAACTCAACAACACTTTCCCCATCATCCAGGAAACACTGTGCCAGCCAGACTAGCACACTAGGAATCCCAGTATCCTCCCTAACAGAGACTCTGGCAGGAAATGCCCTATACAGACCTCCCCAGTCATTTCTACATGGTGCTGCTGCCGTCACCACTATGATATATGATACAGAGACAAGGTCAAATGTACCACCACACGATTCCCATAAATTCACTTCAACCACTTTCAATATGCTTTCTCTATTAACACAATGCATTCAAATAGGGTGTGGTGGACAGTCCTTGAATACCCATAGCAGTGGTAGTGACTATATGGCCGATCACAGATTCATGCCTGGGCTATATATATCTATCTATGTGGTGGTCATTTATTGTGCGTCTGTTGTCTGTTTTTGGCGCTCTCTGATTAAGTCGTGATGGATTGGCCCCTGCTGGCCTTGCCCCTGAAAGGGTGGGGTTTGGACAGCGGTTTGTTGGGTTCAGGGGGTCCAGAGAGAGGGGTGTGGAGGAGGAGGAGAGGGGAGGCAGTGGGGGGACAGCAGGGCGAGTGCCATGTCACCGGGGCCAGAGGGGAACAAAGCCGGGGAGCAGGTCTCCTATGGCCCCGTGCCAGCTGTTAGGCCAAACATCATCACCATCACTACCCCTAAACACCCACCCTCTCCCCTCTGAATGGGAGTGTGCTGGCTTCTGCCGACACGTGCACACACACACACACACACACACACACACACGGTCCAGCCCAGGGGGCCATGGTCATGTCTGGGTCCCACTAGAGACTAAGGGAAAGAGCACATGGGAACATGCAGAGAAACATGTAAAAACATACACATGTACAGCAGCCACAACTATGTTCATCTTGATGACTGAGAAATTGATGTCTTTCAAGCAGAGGTTGTTGGATGATGAGAGAGTGGTGACAACCCTAAAACAACTGTTCCAGACTTATGCTGCTTAGATAGACCGTTTGGATGATGACATCTTTCAACAGAAACCATTAGCTGATTTTGGCTGTGATTCAACAATCCAAAACTGGCCTTGATGCACCTATAAAACAGTAATCAATCAATGAGTTGAATAAAAACATATTTTGCACAGAAAACCTTTATTGACCACAAACTAGTATTGAATGCGGGTAAAACTAAGTATATATTGTTTTCTAGTGCGCGTAAAAAGGACTAAAATGATTTAAGCATTTGTACTTTGGATGGTGCCCAATTAGATCGCGTCCCTGCTTGCAAATATCTTGGCATCTGGATAGATGACGGGCTGTCTTTTAGAAAGCATATTGATGAGTTAGTGAAGAAGCTGAGAATAAAAATAGGCTTCTTTTGGCCTCCGCCTAATACCCTGCTCTGAACCTCAGACACTGTCACTAGCCGGCTACCACCCTCTTCTCTACCCTGCGCCTTAGAGATCGCTTCCCTATGTATACAGTCATTGAACACTGGTCACTTTAATCATGTTAACATACTGGTTTACCCACTTTATATGTATATACTGTATTATAGTCATGGCTCACTGCTATACACACCTTTTCTATTCACATACTGTCCGTATTGTTTATACACACCATTCACATACAAGTGGAGGCTGCTGAGGGGAGGACGACTCATAATAATGGATAGAACGGAGCAAATGGAATGGCATTAAACACATTCAAACCATGTGTTTGATGTATTGATACTATTCCACCCATTCCGCTCCAGCCATTACCACGAGCCAGTCCTCCACAATTAAGGTGACACCAACCTCCTCAGTCACATACATATACTGAACAAAAATATAAACGCAACATGCAACAATTTCAATGATTTTACTGAGTTACAGTTCATATAAGGAAATCAGTCAATTTAAATAAATTCATTAGGCCCTAATTTATGGATTTCACATGACTGGGCAGGAGTGCAGCCTTGGGAGGGCGTAGGCCCACCCACTTGGGAGCCAGGCCTACCCACTGGGGAGCCAGGCCCAGCCAATCAGAATGAGTTTTACCCCACAAAAGGGCTTTATTACAGACAGAAATACTCCTCAGTTTCATCAGCTGTCAGGCTGATGGCTGGTCTCAAACAATCCCGCAGGTGTAGAAGTCGGATGTGGAGGTCCTGGGCTGGCGTGGTTATACGTGGTCTGTTGTTGTGAGGCCATTGGACGTACTGCTTATGGTAGAGAACTGAACATTAAATTATCTGGCAACAGCTCTAGTGGACATTCCTGAAGTCAGCATGCCAATTGCACACTCTCTCAAAACCTGAGACATCTGTGGCATTTTGTTGTGTGACAAAACTGCACATTTTAGAGTGGCCTTTTGTCCCCAGCACAAGGTGCACCTGTGTCATAATCATGCTGTTTAATCAGCTTCTTGATATGTCACACCTGTCAATTGGATGGATTATCTTGGCAAAGGAAAAATGCTCACCAACAGGGATGTAAACAAATTTGTACACAACATTTTTGAGAAATAAGCTTTTTGTACGTATGGAAAATATCTGCGATCTTTGATTTCAGCTCATGAAACATGGGACCAACACTTTATACGTTGCCATTATATTTTTGTTCAGTCTATATATTATTTATATTCCGGACTCTAATATTCCGGAAGCTAATTTCCTGCAATTCCATTTTGATATGGGGTTTTGTACTGTGTATTTATATACTCTATTCTCGACATAGCTCATTCTAATATTTCTACTGCTGTACATTGTCACGTTCGGTCATAGACGGGTCAGACCAAGGCGCAGCGTGATATGCATACATGTTTATTTGAACCGAATAAACAACGACAAAACAACAAACTAAACGAAACGTTAAGTCCAAGGTACACAAACAACATACCTCACACGGAACAAGATCCCACAACCCACTAGTGCCAATAGGCTGCCTAAGTATGGTCCCCAATCAGAGACAACGAGCGACAGCTGCCTCTGATTGGCCAACATAAATCTAGACATACTAGACTAAAAAAATTTATCTATACCACATAGAAAATCACACCCTGACTCAACAAATAAGAGTCCCCAGAGTCAGGGCGTGACAGTACCCCCCCCCCAAACGTGCGGACTCCGACCGCACAACCTTTACTTAACAGGGTAGGGGCCGGGTGGGCATTCCGCCTCGGAGGCGGATCCGGCTCCGGGCGTGACAACCACCTATTCTCCACCTCCCTGTTGCGCCCCTGGTCTGGACTGGACCTCGGCGCTGCTTCCCCTCTCCTTCCTCCCACTATACTCCAAGCCCTGTCTGGACCCTGGTGTGGGAGACCCCGAACCTGGAGAGGGGCTGACGTCTGGGTCTGGACTGGAGCCGCTGACCGGAGCTGGACCGGGCACCGGTGGAGCGGACTCCTCAGGCTCCGGACTGGAGCCGCTGACCGGAGCTGGACTAGGCACCGGTGGAGCGGACTGCTCTGGCTCCGGAGTGGAGCCGCTGACCGGATCTGGACTAGACCCCGGTGGAGCGGACTGCTCTGGCTCCGGAGTGGAGCCGCTGACCGGAGCTGGATCAGGCACCGGTGGAGCGGACTGCTCTGGCTCCGGAGTGGAGCCGCTGACCGGAGCTGGACTGGACCCCGGTGGAGTGGACTGCTCTGGCTCCGGACTGGAGCAGCTGACCGGAGCTGGATCAGGCACCGGTGGAGCGGACTGCTCTGGCTCCAGACTGGAGCTGCTGACTGGTGCCGGACCAGGCACCGGTGGAACGGGCACGGGCCGTGCCGGACTGGACACACTCACCACTGGTCTGGTGCGAGGAGCAGGCACGGGCCGAACCGGACTAGGAACGTGCACCACTGCCTTGGTGCGAGGAACAGGCCGGGCCGGACTGGCGACACGCACCACTGGCTTGGTGCGAGGAGCGGGAACAGGCCGGGCCGGGCTGGCGACGCGCACCAATGGCTTGGTGCGAGGAGCAGGAACAGGCCGGGCCGGGCTGGCGACGCGCACCACTGGCTTGGTGCGAGGAGCAGGAACAGGCTGGGCCGGGCTGGGAACACGCACCACTGGTTTGGTGCGAGGAGCAGGAACAGGCCGGACCGGGCTGGGAACACGCACCACTGGTTTGGTGCGAGGAGCAGGAACAGGCTGGACCGGGCTGGCGACGCGCACCACTGGCTTAGTGCGAGGAGCAGGAACAGGCCGGGCCGGGCTGGGAACGCGCACCACTGGTTTGGTGCGAGGAGCAGGAACGGGTCGGGCCGTACTGGGAACACGCACCACTGGCTTAGTGCGGGGAGCAGGAACGGGCCGGACCGGGCTGGCGACGCGCAACACTGGCTTGGTGCGAGGAGCAGGAACAGGCCGGACCGGGCTGGCGACGCGCACCACTGGCTTGGTGCGAGGAGCAGGAACAGGCCGGGCCGGGCTGGCGACGCGCACCACTGGCTTGGTGCGAGGAGCAGGAACAGGCCGGGCCGGGCTGGGAACACGCACCACTGGTTTGGTGCGAGGAGCAGGAACAGGCCGGACCGGGCTGGGAACACGCAACACTGGCTTGGTGCGAGGAGCAGGAACAGGCCGGGCCGGGCTGGGAACGTGCACCACTGGTTTGGTGCGAGGAGCAGGAACGGGTCGGGCCGTACTGGGAACACGCACCACTGGCTTAGTGCGGGGAGCAGGAACGGGCCGGACCGGGCTGGCGACGCGCAACACTGGCTTGGTGCGAGGAGCAGGAACAGGCCGGACCGGGCTGGCGACGCGCACCACTGGCTTGGTGCGAGGAGCAGGAACATGCCGGGCCGGGCTGGCGACGCGCACCACTGGCTTGGTGCGAGGAGCAGGAACAGGCCGGGCCGGGCTGGGAACACGCACCACTGGTTTGGTGCGAGGAGCAGGAACAGGCCGGACCGGGCTGGGAACACGCACCACTGGCTTAGTGCGAGGAGCAGGAACAGGCCGGGCCGGGCTGGGAACGCGCACCACTGGTTTGGTGCGAGGAGCAGGAACGGGTCGGGCCGTACTGGGAACACGCACCACTGGCTTAGTGCGGGGAGCAGGAACGGGCCGGACCGGACTGGCGACACGCACCACTTGCTTGGTGCGAGGAGCGGGACTGGGTTCCTTTATTAACCCCCGCTACTTCTGCTGCCTAACCAGCTCCTCTCGCCGTGCCTCTACACTTTCCTTCTCCCTTTTAGCCTCCTGTAGCGCCTCCCTCTGACCGAATAACTCCTGCTCCCTCTGAACCAATAGCCCCCGTAACATGGTGGCCTCCTCTCCTAACCTGCAGACCCGCCCTTTAACGGCCTCCTGCTGCCTCGTCGTCCACACCGTGTGCCCCCCCAAAAAAATTATTGGGGTTGCCTCTCGGGTCTCCGTCGTTGGCACTGTTGGCGCCGTTTCTCCTCTCCTACCTGGGCATCACCCTTCATCGCCTCCCGATAACGGACGGCCTCCTCCTCAGTAATTTTCCCCCAACCGAGGAGGACATCTACTAAAGTTACCTCCCGTTGAATCCCCGGCGTTTGCTCCTTCTGGGCACGCTGCTTGGTCCTTGTTTGGTGGGATCTTCTGTCACGTTCGTTCATAGACGGGTCAGTCCAAGGTCCAAGGTACACAAACAACATACCTCACACAGAACAAGATCCCACAATCCACTAGTGCCAATAGGCTGCCTAAGTATGGACCCCAATCAGAGACAACGAGCGACAGCTGCCTCTGATTGGGAACCACACCGGCCAACATAGATCTAGACATACTAGACTAAAAACATAGATCTATACCACATAGAAAATCACACCCTGACTCAACAAATAAGAGTCCCCAGAGTCAGGGCGTGACATACATTGCATTTTAGTTACACTGTTTATACACACCGCATATTTATTTATATAGCCTACTGGATTCTTGACATAGCTCACTCTAATATATCTACTGATGTACATAATATAATTAATAATATATATTGTGTAAATTCATCCGGTATAGTTACATATAGATTGCATTTTGACTACTGTTATAGTGGTATTTGGGTTGTTAATTGGATTTGTTCTGACATTTCTTAATTTCTTGTTGTTATTTCTGTTTTAGTTTTTTAAAGATGCACTATGCAGAAATCGCTCCGCCATTTCCTGGTTGCAAAATTTTCTAATTTCAGTTTATGTGGCAAAACAAGCAAGTAAAGTGTAGAGAATCATTGTACCATCTAAACTGCTGTGAAATATATTTTCCATAACCAACAATATTGTATTTTCAGCTGTCTGAAGCTGGTGTACAAAACTGAAAGTAAAAGACGCAAAAACGACACTTAAGAACAAGACGTATAGAAATGGTGCACTTAGAACAGATCTACCGCTTTATGACTTGCTTTAAATGAGAATGACACATCTATAACACACATTTCTATGTGAATTTGGTAAAGGTCGACTGGTTTTCTGATTTGGTAAAGGTCGACTGGTTTTCTGATCCACACACCTAGCTTTTTTTTAAGGTATCTGTGACCAACAGTCTTGTGAAATCCATAGATTAGGGTAGGGCCTAGTATGTAGGCACCCCTTTAAATGAGTGGATTCAGCTATTTCAGCCACACCCATTGCTGACAGGTGTATAAAATCAGCCACAAACATTGGCAGTAGAATGGCCTTACTGAAGAGCTCAGTGACTTTCAACATGGCACCGTCATAGGATGCCACCTTTCCAACAAGCCAGTTCGTCAACTGCAAGTGCTGTTATTGTGAAGTGGAAACGTCTAGGAGCAACAACAGCTCTGTGCTTCCAACTTTGTGGCAACAGTTTGGGGAAGGCACTTTCCTGTTTCAGCATGACAATGCCCCCGTGCACAAAGCGAGGTCCATACAGAAATGGTTTGTCGAGATCGGTGTGGAAGAACTTGACTGGCCTCCACAGAGCCCTGACCTCAAGCCCATCGAAAACCTTTGGGATGAATTGGAATGCCGACTGCGATCCAACTATGCAGGCCATGGATCTATCTAATCAAATCCAACATTAGTGCCCGACCTCACTAATGCTCTTGTGGCTGAATGGAAGCAAGTCCCCGTAGCAATGTTCAAACATCTAGTGGAAAGTCTTCCCGGAAGAGTGGAGGCTCTTATACAGCAAACTCCATATTAATGCCCATGATTTTGGAATGAGATATTCGTCAAGCAGGTGTGTGTGTGTTTGTGTGTGTGTCTACGTGCTCACCTTGTCCCCAGGTGTGTGTGGATGGCTTTGTAACATGAGAAGGTGTGTGCCAGAGAAGAGTCATGAAAACAGATGGTTGGGAGATGGGGCCTGATTAGATACAGCAGTAGCAGCAACATATGGCACACCAACATCAGTGCAGCCACTAACCAAACAATCCACACAGACCTCAATAAAGACTGACAGAAAGGACAGAAACATGACAGTATTTCTCTTTATTGCACGTCATGAGTAAATGATAGGCAGCTCTTTACAAACTCAAGGGCAACCTACAGTACACCATCTTGTCTCTTTAGTTTATTTTCATAATAGTCGACACCTTTTCTTATGTAAGTAGACAGTCAAGGTTATCAGATGTCGGTTAATGAACTTTTTTCTATTGATTTAGAGTATGTGATACTCCCCCTCTTCCTTAGTCAATATGTTATTATGGAAGCGGACACATCTCTACACAGCACTGATCCTGTATGAGGAGTTTTCAGAGCTAACCTGTGGTGTTCTCTTCTATAACAGAATCCCAGACATCCAACTGCACTTCAAGTCCTCATTCTCATAAAAAAGTCATATTAACCAGGTTGTCAATACTAGTTGAGTGGCGCGGCACAGGAATCATGTAATGCACTCTCTTCTCGAAACTCGAGTTGGGCAGCGTTGAAACTCGCCATCCCTCATGCCACCTTAAAGGGGAGCTCTTGCGGAACAGGTGCTGCAGGCTGGGAGGCAGGCGTGTGTAGCCCCCCTCCCCCATGTCCCCCAGCTGGATGAGGATGACGCTCATCTCACTGTGGACCAGAGCCTGGTGGAGCCCCACCTGACAGACAGTCATAGTCTTCTGCAGGGGTCAGTGAGGATGAGTAGCCCCACTGGCCCCTTGACCTCCCAACCCTGAGCCTGACCCTGAGCTTGAGCTGGTGGTCAGGATGACCATCAGCCTCCTGCTCGGCCGCATACATTAGCCTCCGCCGGTCTGGGTACACAACAGAGGAGTGGAAGAAGTTTAAATTTTTAACAGTTTATTACTGTTAAATTTGCCTCTTTGAGGGCAGGGCATTGTCTAAAAGAACCAACCTTCTCCAGGTAAGTCGTCTCTGCTGTGGATGAAGAGTCCTAAGCCTCACTTCTGCTCCAGGACAGTGGGCAGAACGTTGCTCACAGAGTGACACGTTCTCCTCCATGCCTTGGTCTACACCAACCATCTGGTAGACAACTTAAGCATCATAGACCTTCCCATCTGAAAACACAGATAAAGAGGTTTCTGTCTAACCTCTGCATGAAAAGAGTGGATTCTAGAGATTTGATTCAATTCTATTTGAACTGAAATTGAGTTATTTTATCATAAATGGCCCATGATTTATTACTTAAATTCAGTAATTTGAGCAAAATGAGCATTACTTTACTTTGAGCAGATATGCCTACTGCAGACTAGGCCTACTGCACCTCACAATGAGCGGGCCCGATATAGACTCCCCCCATGTGGTGTGACTAAGAACTACATGTTTACATGACTCCCAATACTATACCGGTATAGGCTGAATAAGCACTTCTGTACAATGAAAAATAGTAACAATTCCTTTTAAGGGGTCCTAATTACACTGTAATTACATGTGCAATTACACTGTAACAACGTTTGTAATTAACTGTAACGACTCATAGTTACAATGTAATAAACACATGTACCTGGTAGTAATTGCGGTCTGTAATTACAGAACTGTAACAACAAATGCTTGTTACCATGCTTGTTATAAATGGGCAGGTTTCCACTAAATTCACCAACTTAGTGTTTTGCTTCATCTCAGCTGCATCTGATTCATGAACAACTATGACAAAGGTTGGGATCCCTTGTGGATGCGCTGGGTGTCTGAGAGATTATAGTCTATGCTCAATAGGCTCTAATTACTTAACCGTGAATGTGCACTGTTCAAAATATATCTCCAGTCAACGTTGCTAGCACTTGCCCACAAAATAAAACGTACCATCTGTGTTAACTTGGTTGAGCTTACAAAAAACGATTGAATACGAGTGTCATCCCAGATGAGGAATAAGACACTATTTCAAAGCACATGTAATGTTTGCCTAAGTACAATGTAATTACTAGTTGTTACACAGGATTTAGCTAGTTAAAATGAAGTCTTGACGGGTACTTACCTGTAACTAATGTGTGCTTATACAGTACATTACCCATCCTGACAACCTGGCACTCATTTTAAAGCTTCTGGAAGTGTGATCCAAGTGGGAGAATAAACGCACTAGTATGCCCTTATGTCAGTCATCAGTCAAAAAATAGGGTGTCTTGTCCTGCTCCTGAAATCTTCTCCTGCAATCATTCCAGTCATCAGAAACAGAGCATTGGGGTGCATGTGTGTACGCAATTACAATTACAATGACAATTTAATATGAATATAACATTTTATATAACATAAGCATACTGTTGACAAGTAGGCTATGGTGTAACGGAATGTTTTGCCTTGTGCGGTAGGTTTTGTGGGTTTTGACATTCTTATGTAGGTGTCATAACCAGCCATAAAATAATACAATATATGTCACAACAGGTCTAAATATACACTATATATACACAAAAGTATGTGGACACCTGTTCAAATTAGTGGATTTGGCTATTTCAGCCACACCTGTTATTGACAGGTGTATAAAAACGAGCACACATCCATGCAATGAATGGCCTTAATGAAGAGCTCCGTGACATTGAACGTGGCACCTTCACAGGATGCCACCTTTCCAACAAGTCAATTTGTCAGCACAAGAACTGTTCATCAGGAGCTCCATGAAATGGGTTTCCGTGGCCGAGCAGCTGCACACAAGCCTAAGATCACCATACGCAATGTCAAGCGTTGGTTGGAGTGGTGTAAAGCTCACCGCATTGGACTCTGGAGCAGTGGAAACGCATTCTCTGGAGTGATAAATCACGCTTCACCATCTGGCAGTCCGACGGACTAATCTGGGTTTGGCGGATGCCAGGAGAATGCTACCTGCCCCAATGCATAGTGCCAACTGTAAAGTTTGGTGGAGGAGGAATAATGGTCTGGGGCTGTTTTTCAAGGTTCGGGCTAGGCCCCTTAGTTCCAGTTAAGGGAAATCTTAACGCTACAGCATACAATGATATTCCAGACGATTCTGTGCTTCCAACTTTGTGGCAACAGTTTGGGGAAGGCCCTTTCCTGTTTCAGCATGACAATGCCCCCGTGCACAAAGCGAGGTCCATTGAGAAATGGTTTCGAGATCGGTGTGGAAAAACTTGACTGGCCTGCATAAAGACCTGACCTCAACCCCATCAAACACCTTTGGGCTGAATTGGAAAGCCGACTGCGAGCCAGGCCTAATTGCCCAACATCAGTGCTCGACTTCACTAATGCTCTTGTGGCTGAATGGAAGCAAGTCCCCTTAGCAATGTTCCAACATCTAGTGGAAAGCCTTCCCAGAAGAGTGGAGGCTGTTATAGCAGCAAAGGGGGGACCAACTCCATATTAATGCCCATGATTTTGGAATGAGATGTTTCCCATACTTTTGGTAATATAGTGTGTGTGTCATGACAGTGTTGTAACCATATTATTACAGGTTATGACAACTTATGTCAACTGTTATGACATATTATGACATGGTTATGACCGTTTCATAACGTGTTATGACTCTGGGTGTCAAGTAAAGTGTTACTGCGAGATCCAAGTGGGAGAAAACACTAGTACACCACAGAGTACATGTAATATCTGCAGAAGTAGAATGTAACTACCAGGTGCTACACATGAATTGGCTAGTTATAATGAAGTTTATCTTGTACCGATAGCCAGTGGTGGAAAAAGTACCCAATTGTCATACTTGAGTAAAAGTAAACATACCTTAATAGAAAATGACTGAAGTAAAAGTGAAAGTCACCCAGAAAAATACTCCTTGAGTAAAAGTCTAAAAGTATTTGGTTTTAAATATACTTAAGTATCAAAAGTAAAAGTATACACTACCGGTCAAAAGTTTTAGAACACCTACTCATTCAAGGGTTTTTCTTTATTTTTACTATTTTCTTCATTGTAGAATAATAGTGAAGACATCAAAACAATGAAATCACACATGGAATCATGTAGTAACCAAAAAAGTGTTAAACAAATATATTTTATATTTGAGATTCTTCAAATAGCCACCATTTGCCTTGATGACAGCTTTGCACACTATTGGCATTCTCTCAACCAGCTTCATGAGGTAGTCACCTGGGATGCATTTCAATTAACAGGTGTGCCTTCTTAAAAGTTAATTTGTGGAATTTCTTTCCTTCTTAATGTGTTTAAGCCAATCAGTTGTGTTGTGACAAGGTAGGGGGGGTATGCAGAAGATATCCCTATTTGGTAAAATACCAAGTCCATATTATGGCAAGAACAGCTCAAATAAGCAAAGAGAAATGACAATCCATCATTACTTTAAGACATGAAGGTCAGTCAATATGGTCAAGAACTTTGAACGTTTCTTCAAGTGCAGTCGCAAAAACCACCAGCGCTATAATGAAACTGGCTCTCATGACATCCACCACAGGAATGGAAGACCCAGAGTTACCTCTGCTGAAGAGGACAAGTTCATTAGTTACCAGCCTCAGAAATTGCAGCCCAAATAAATGCTTCACAGAGTTCAAGTCACAGACACATCTCAACATCAACTGTTCAGAGGAGACTGTGTGAATCAGGCCTTCATGGTCGAATTGCTACAAATAAACCACTACTAAAGGACACCAATAAGAAGAAGAGACTTGCTTGGGCCAAGAAACACGAGCAATGGACATTAGACCGGTGGAAATGTGTACTTTGGTCTGATGAGTCGAAATTTGAGATTTTGGGTTCCAACCGCTGTGTCTTTGTGAGACACGGTGTGGGTGAACGGATAATCTCTGCATGTGTAGTTCCCACCGTAAAGCATGGAGGAGAAGGTGTTATGGTGTGGGGGTGCTTTGCTGGTGACACCGTCTGTGATTTATTTAGAATTAAAGGCACACTTAACCAGCACGGCTACCACAGCATTCTGCAGTGATATGCCATCCCATCTGGTTTGGGCTTAGTGGGACTATCATTTGTTTTTCAACAGGACAATGACCCAACACACCTCCAGGCTGTGTAAGGGCTATTTTACCAAGAAGGAGAGTGATGGAGTGCTGCATCAGATGACCTGGCCTCCACAATCCCCTGACCTCAACCAAATTGAGATGGTTTGGGATGAGTTGGACCGCAGAGTGAAGGAAAAGCAGCCAACAAGTGCTCAGCATATGTGGGAACTCCTTCAAGACTGTTGGAAAAGCATTCCAGGTGAAGTTAGTTGAGAGAATGCCAAGAATGTGCAAAGCTGTCATCAAGGCAAAGGGTGGCTATTTGAAGAATCTCAAATATAAAATGTATTTTGATTTGTTTAACACTTTTTTGGTTACTACATGATTCCATATGTGTTATTTCATGGTTTTGATGTCTTCACTATTATTCTACAATGTAGAAAATTGTTAAAATAAAGAAAGTCCCTTGAATGAGTAGGTGTTCTAAAACTTTTGACCGGTAGTGTAAATCATTTCACATTCCTTATATTAAGCACTTTTTTTTTTTTTATAGTACTTTTTAAATATTATGGACAGCCAGGGGCACACTCCAACACTCAGACAAAGCAACTGTGTTTAGTGAGTCCGCCAGGTTAGAGGCAGTAGGGATGACCTGGGATGTTCTCTTGATAAGTGTGTGAATTGGACCATTTTCCTTTCCTGCTAAGCATTCGAAATGTAATGAGTACTTTTGGGTGTCAGGGAAAATATATTGAGTAAAAAGTACATTATTTTCTTTAAAACTGTAGTGGAGTAAAAGTAAAAGTAGTAAAGTAAAGTACTGATACCAGAACAGGCCTTGCACAAACGTTTTCCCCCAGCACATGTTCTGGTTGGCGCCCGTATTGCCTTCATGGTTGTTTTCCTTACAAATTGGACTTT